TATATAGCTGCCAGTTTTTAGACCTGCTGAAACAAATAAAGTTGTATGTATGTATCGCTATCTTCGACTCCTGTGATAAATCAAATGTATATTAACACATATCATGTCAATATTTTATAAATTTTTAGGTTTAGCATAAATTTTATAAAAAAACTCAATTCCGGCATAACGAAGCTGCGTTTAAATTTCATGCCATGGCTTACGATAATACAGTATTTGCGTCTTTTCCTCGACTCTTAGCTTTTCGAAAAAGTACCTTAAACTTTAAACATCATATTAACCAAAAAGCCGCTCATTGATACGAGGATTCGAGATAATCTTCTCACCTTATTCTATGCGGGAATTTCACCAAATCTTTCGCCTATCGTCTTCTGATTACAGTTTACACGTTTCTGTTAAGGATTAGACTAACAAAATGTATAAAGATCGCGTGTAGAAGAGCCAAAGAAACATGAACAAAGAAACAATTTTCCTGCGTCAAGAAAATATGTACGCAGACCGACATGCAGCGCAACCCAACAAACCAACCACAGACAGCCCAAACAAGGTTCCTGTGTATGGTTTATAAGGGAATGTATGGTAGTTATGATAAAGTTACGAAAATAAAATGTTTCACTTAACAATTTGCCTCAAAACTTGCTGCAGTTATTGCTTTTACTTTGTTCAGTCTTCTGGCGAAGTTTCAGCGCGATTTGAGGCCGTTTAGTGTTTGTTTTTTTAAAATCCGCTTTTCTCTACCTAAATAATCTTGTTTGGGCTGCCTGTGCCCAAACTCCCTACGTTTATACACTGATTAAGAGAAAGTATCGGGATTTAGAATATGCCGTATTTCATTTGGAAAAACGTAAATAAACGTTTTTCGACTTACCTGTTCTGTCATTCTATTTCTTTTTAACTCCTGTAAGAAGCCTCAGCGAGTTTTGAAGAGTATTTATTTTTAAATTCCGACACTAAGAATAGTTCCTTGGTCATTCCACAGGTAGCCCAAGCTAGGTTCCTGTGGTGT